CAACGTGATTGACACAGGGATGCCTCCTCCCAGTCATAGTAAGGCGAGGACGCTAGCTCATGAATTTGCTCCTTGTTCTTTTCCCAGGTCTAACTGATGAAGGACACACAGCTCTTCCCTCCCTTTGGCTTGTGGGCACAAAGGCAGGAACCACACTTGCCATGTCACATTTATTCCCTGAGCACCAGCGCCACATTTGGCACAGTGCCAAATGGTACCATCCAATTAAACTCCTCAGCGGTTTCCCCCTGGCTTTAAAATCTGTGCTCCTCACCAGCAAGGCCTGCAAGGTCTGATGTGAGCTGGCTCTTCTCCAGCCCATCTCCACCCATCTTCCTGTCCCTCCACCTCTGCCTCTGACAAGCAGCTCTCCCCATAGCTCTTCCACAGAGACCCCTACTCAAAAGGTCACCTCCACCGAGCGGCTCCCTCCTAGTTACTATCATATCCCCCGACTGCCTGCGTGACACCGACCACCATCCAAAGTAAGCCATTGGTATGCTTACTTACTGACCGTCTGCCCCACCACAACCTCCCCAGGAAGGCAAGGGCCTCATCTGTCTTTTCTCCCCCGTGTCAGTGCCCACCACTCAGACACAGCGTCTCGCACAGGCCATGCTCAATGACTGTGTGGTGACTGAAATCACTATGCAAGCTAAAGCCTTCACTGAAGTCTACTCATTAGAAAACAAATACACGTTTTCTAGATAATGTTCTAGAATAGAAATTTGTTTCCAGTTTTGCTCACATGTAAGCAGCCACCACACTGTGCAGGATGCTGCGAGAACTATCAAAGGGAGCTAAAACACTTAAGCCTCTGGAACGCTTCATTTAGGTTTTTCCAAATTCTGTATTTGTTTTTTTTGAAGATCACAGAGGTGAATAAAGTTCTTGTTGTAAGTCCTCAGACTGCTCCTGGAGACCCCAGAAGACCTAAGTTGTTCATAGGACTGAATATTAGAAGTGGAGAGGCTGTTAGGCTATCTGGAAGGGACACATTTCTCTGCTTTAAAGACGAAGCACTGGGAACCCAGCCAAGCCAGGAGACTTGCAGACCAGCATCCAAGGTGTCCTGACCTCACAGTCAGTCTACCAGACGCTGGCCCCCAAATGCTGCTCTCCTCTTTGAAGTAGATCCCAACTCGTCTGGTCCCCCAAAATGCTAGTCCTTTAAAACAGCCCCTGAAGGCTGGGGGGCAGGGGCACATCTGGGGAGCCAGCAAGTGGCCGTGTTCTCCATCCTGCATCCCTGGGAGGAGTCACACGGAAGGGGGAGCAAAGCCCTTCTCCTCCAAGGCTGGGCTCCCCGGCTTCTGGCCCGCAGGCCTGAGAAGGATAAGCATCGGTGGGGGTCAGGGTGGATCCCTGCCCCAACTTCACTGTATGGAGACCTTCAGTGTCCATCAGCGTGGACAAGAAGTCACAAACTGGGTCCACTAAAACCCAACTGCAGGACAAGCTGAACATTCAGGCACATCAGGAAAGACCAGGGGGAGGATGGGCAGTAGCTGAAATCTGGGTCCCCAGGCCCTTCACATAAGAGCAGCTGCCCCTGCCATGGCCACTGTCTTTAGCAGAGGGCCCTGCAAGAGACAACCCATCTCTGCCAGGGAAACTCAGCTAGGCTTGTCCTTGTCTGTCCAGACGCAGCCCTCCTGCATCCACACTGGGGGTGTCCAAGAAGACTGTGTTCAGAAACAGTGAGACGGGTGGCGAAAAGATCTAGCAAGAGTATCTCTGCCAGCCAAGTTCATGGAGTGATCCAGAGAGGTGGAGTCATTTGTTCAAGGTCACAAAGCAAGTGAATTTTGGACTGAGACTAAAACCCAAGGTTTCATTACAATACAGATCAATACCAACATGAACATAATGTTATACCTAAGTTCTTGTTACATTTAATATCTTTGTCCAAAATGGCATTTACTTTGGAATGCCATTCTTTTATCCTGCATTTGAAATAACTTATTTAGATAAACAAAAGTTCTTAAAAGGTATAAAGCCCTATATCCAAACCAAGTCACTGAAGGACACAGAAAAGCTACTTAAGACCTGTAAAATCTGAACCATTCGACACCTAGTCTGAGCTCATTTCTTACTGTAACAGGTTCTTCCAGAATGCTTTCCACAAAGACCCACAGTCGACAGTATGCTGCCAGGACAAACCTTACAGGTTGACTTAGTTGACTTGCAGCAACACAGACAGACAGCGGCCTCCAGTGACTCCTTCATTTGAGAGTTGAGTACAGGCAGACCATTCCAGTGCTGATCACTGAACTTTTGAAGGTTTCCAACGGAAAGTGACCCAGGAGACCTTTGGCAGCTTCACATATACAAACCTAGTAAGAACGTCTAAGGAAAAGCTGGAGGATGTGGGCGGACCTGGTCACGTCAACTCCATCACGGATCTGTGACTGCAAGTGCTCCCACACCCCTCCCTACCTCTTGACGCCTGTGGCACCGCGGGGGCCCCGTGCTCCCGTGCAATAGCTCTAGTGAGGCTCTGCGTTCAGGAACAGCAAATGGTGATCTTAATGAAGTTGCTTATAGGGCTCTTCCTGCAATCCATGCAGCTTAAATCATAAATCCCAAATTAGTTCTTAAGGGTCCTTTGCCTGTCTCAGGTCGACAGCATGTTTCCTGTTTCCTTCTCTTTTTCAACGAGGGTAAGGCTCCCTGTGGCTGGCTTTCCAGAAGATGACCCACGCCTCTCAGACCCACCCAACGTGAGTCTTGAGACACTGACTCCAACGCAGTCAAGGGGGTAAAGGGATTAAGGATTAAATAGGGTATCGATATAAAAGTGATGTGTTCTACGAGCTCTCTGTCTGCTGGGGGTTTCAAGGAGGTCTCGGACTTCCTTCCGTGACTCACTCAGGACTGGCAGGACCACCAACATTCCTTCCATCGCTCTTGCAAAGACTGGTTCACTCAGCATCTATAAAACCTGTTGAGTTTTCTCATATAATATTCAAAAAAACAGAGCAGGAAGGCAGGCAGTTTGTTCTACGTATTTATTTATTCAACACTTATTAAGTACCTACAATGAACCAGAATTATATTTTATTGTTTAAAAAATTCAAGCTGTAAAATATGGCCCCCTGGTGAGAGGTTACCAAAAGCAGCTGGAAATGACAGAAATCACTCCCAAAATTCGGCTTTTAGCTCAGCTGAGGATCAAAATCCCCAGGACCAAGGGAAACCCCAGGATGGGGAGACCTCTGCCCAAGACCAAGAGAGGGAGGTCAGGAGAGCCAGCCCAGGAGCAGAGCCAGATGACGGGGCGAGGCTGGGACACCGGCCTCAGCTAGTGTGTACGGCACAGGCCACGTCTCAGATCTTGGTAGGATCTCCCACCTTGCCCTCCAATTTGATTTTAAGTCCTTGACTTCTTTCCCTTTTCCCAGTTAAAAAAAAAAGTAAAACAAACCCCCCAAAACTGGTTGGGATATATATTTATTCTCCCAATGCCTTTATTTGTTGTTTAAGTCAAATCTAAAATTAAAGTTAACAAATTGTGTGGTTTTCTTCATCTTGTATTAAAAATGAAAACTGTCCGTTCAAAAACTACACTACGACGATGTATTCCTAAATAGCAATACAGCTTTAATTGCAGGGCATCGAATCACCTCGCAAACACATTACAGTCACTATGAGTTATCAATAGGTGCTGTACTGGTTGTTGTACTGTACGTTTTTTTTTTGGCAAACTTAGAACAAACCAGAGAACAAAATCTAAGTCTTCATCATCATGTAGAAAAATAAAACAAACCTAAAGTATCCACCTGTGTGTAGAGTAACTCATACTGCAAAAGCAAAACTGTCTACACCCTCAGCCGAGTCCAGAATTCCTTAGTGCAAGAAACATAACCCATTAATACAGATCAGTACTTATAATGAATATGGAAAATTCTCCTATACAGAGGTAGAGTCCAGTGCACAAGGCTAAAACAATATTCAATAGTCTAAACAAGACTGAGCCGGGTTTTATGGAATCCACTTTAAATTTTAAGTTATTGGACTGTATGTACATACATACAATAAATAGACTATACAATTTTTTAAAGTAGTTTAATAAACTCCACAAAATAATAGCAGATGCATTGAAATATTTACATAATTCAATTTTCAAATCTTTCTCATTCAAATAAAAGGGATAAAAATAAGATTTCTGCTTTAAAGGCAGCAGAACCTCTTTCCTGAAATGATCGGTAAAATAAGATACTTTACATGAGAGGAACTAATTTACGCTTGAGAGGTATTCGTATTCAGCTAAGAAAATACGTCCCTTTTTAAGCTATATAGACTAGGGAATATAAAATGATATTTTCAGATCTCTAAAGTTCTAAATCCAACTCTTACTTGAAGAGAGAAGCTGATTTTGGTACCCACACAGAGTATATCAACACAATTACAATGGAAAGATAATCAACTTTTCATATTCTATTTGTTTGCTTTTGAAAGTTTAGGCCAGAAAGAACTTGACAATATTTCTGGCCCTAACAGTTATGTTCACACGATACCAAGTTCACTGAAACCTGACTAGCACTTTCTGCCTGGTGTTTTTGGGATTTCAACTTTCGAGCCCCTTCCTTTTCCAAAGCACGTTTCATAGGGCGCAGGCACACTTGGGGATCAGGTGCATGATTTTAGGATACTCACGACTAGTAACAGGAGATTCCAGAGTTTTCCAAGCTCACATAGGAGGAGGGTGAAACACAGATCGTCTGCTGCCATTTGCCTCACAGATACTTGAAAAAGGAAAAAACTTAGAAACTTCTGTCATTGTGACCCAAGCAAATATGCAAACACCCAAAGCATTATGTGCTTCATTGACTCAGATTCTATCATTAAACTTACTTTTATTTTACTTGATATAAAAGATTTTCATTAGCCCATAAGGAAATTGGGGTTAGTCAAAAAACGAAAAAGTGTGGCCATAATTAATGAAGCGTACACCTTCACAGTTTGAATTTGTGTAACTTCTCTAAGCACCCACAATGAAAATGCAAGCTGAGTTTTTTATTCAATCATTCTGTGAACTCAGTAAATGGTAACATTTTGCCCTTCCATGATCTTCCCACTGGAATCTCCCCCCTTGTTTTTTTTTATTTTAGATTTTTAAAAAATTTTATACAAATAGACCAACTTTGATTTAAAGTAAACATATAAAATTGAGAAGAATATTGCTTGCAACAATGGATGCGGAACTGGAGCAGTGAGTGGGGCAGGGAGCACAAAGACACGGCTCCTCATCAACGTCCGCGGGCAGACACCAGCAGTCTGGAGAGCCCGGCTGCAGGCCGCCCTTCGCCGCACACTGTTCCTTCAGCCACCAAGTCTGACTGACTTGTAACTACGACTTCCGGTCAGAGCAAAAACAACAACTGCAAGAAGATCGGAAGGCACAAGCACCCATGTGATCTAGAATTTTCTTGGGGTGAGGAATAGGAGGGAAATGGACACTTTTGGTTCAGCACTACAGTCAAGTTAATTTTGCCATTGTTGAAGAAAAACCGTATAAAATAAGGGTGTAGAGAAACGTAGGAAGCGCATCCCACTGTGAGGAAGAAAGCTCAGAAGACAGCTCGCAGGAGGAGTGCGGAGAGAACAACCAGCACTATTTATTTGGATGTCTGCGCCATGGTGGGTACAAACTATATTCTCTGCTCTGTGGGACCAAAACCAAAACAGAATAAAAACAAAAATCCCCCAAATCCCAAAAAAGCAGCAAGAAGGAATGCAAGAAGTCTTACACACTGATCCCAGTGGAGGGACAAACGTGGCGCTTGTCTCTAACGCACATCCCACTGTTAGCCCGGCTGTGTCTCCGGCGTACCCTCTGCCAATGGCGAGGCACCCAGGAAATGGCCAGGCCGCGTCGCCACCTTCCCCACCTCCACACGACTCCCCCGCCCCTCGTTTACTCCTCCGGGAGGAGAGTCTTCTTCCTCCAGGAAGACGTGCTGTTCACGACGTGGGGAAGGTGGGCGAGGACTTCCAGAATACCGATTCTCTTCCCCGCAGCCTTGCTGTGTGTGGGCCACTCAAGAGGCGGTCACCCAGGCAGCCTGGCGGAGCTATGCATTTAAAAAGGAAAGGAAAGGAAAAACAAAAACAAAACCACCCCAAGTCTGTCTTTTCTCAAACTGAAGGAGAAACTGGGGGATGGTACGGCCTCCTGTGGGGACGCCGGTTAGGAGATGATGGCCGGTGACCACCTCGGCAGAGTCAGATTGTCAGCACTTGCTGACCGCTTCCTCGCGGGTCTTCTCAGGTCCTTGTACTTGTCCTCGCAGAGGCGAGAGATGGCCTGTGGGGCAGGAGAGAGACAATTGAGGTCAGGGCCGGACTCGGGGGCGAGTGCCACCGCCCTCGAAGCTGCCCTGTCCACCCACTCATCAGACGCCGACCACCACCGTGTGCCCACATCGCTCTAGGCACTGAGGACGCGCGTAAACAGAAGCAGCAGGAGTCCCTGCCCGTGGAGTCGACCTCCCAGGCCCAGACCTGTGCTGGCTGCAGTGGGGGGCAAAGGAGGCGGAGAAGCAGTCCCTGTTTCCACGGTGCTCACAGTCTAGCTGAGGAAAGATCTCAGAGTGCGAACAATGAGAAGACAGTGTGGCCTGGGGGTCAGCCAGGCCCGGCTTCAGGGCTGGCTCCCCACTTAGGGGTATGGGACCCTGGGCATGGGCACTGTGTCAGGTCCTTAGCATCCCCGTTGCAAATGGGGTAATGACAGCCCTCCTCGCAGGGCTGCTGTGAAGCAGTGGAGCTCCGTGTTGGGCCGCAGGGAGGAGAGCCCTGCGCTTGGCAGCCAGCACCAACTAGAGACCGAGTCAGAGCACGTGACCCAGTGTCTGAGTCAGCTTGAGATGACGGCTGTAGACGGGAACCAAGAGGGGACTACAGAAACACGGGATGTGGAGATCATCAACATCGTCCTCATGCTGTCAGTGAGGACAGTGAGCCCCCAGGCGGAGTGCCTTGGCCATGAGCAAGGCCAGGCCTTCCCTGGGGGTCTGGGCCCAGCCACGGCTCTCCCACGGCTGCCATCAGGCGAGGGCTGAGAGCATGTGGACGACAGAGGGGGGCCGGCTCCCATCACCGCCATCGCAGATGGCCTGTCCCAGTCACGTTCACCTTGCCATCTGACAAGATAACCGGGGTGGGGGTACTTCGCCCACGATGAGGCAAAGGGGGGGGGTCTTTCGCTTTCTATACAATTCAAGCGACAAGCCGCGGACCACGCTGGGCTAGGGAGACAGGCACAGCGCCCACGCGCCAAGAAGCCACAGTCGAGGGCCAAAGGCACTGCCCTCTGCCCGTGCCACATGGCCTGGTCAGACCACCGTCGGCTCTTGCTGGTCTCCCTGCCTCCCCCTCACTCTTGGATGTCCTCCCTATACTTCTGCCCCTGTCACGCACCCCGCTCTGTGGCCCCCCACTGGCCCATCCCCACGGGCTTTGCAGCAGCTCTGCCCTCAGCGCCCCGCGCTCTCCAGTCTTCACGCCCAGGCCACAAGGCTCCTGACACAGCCACACCCTGCTCACTTCTTCCTTTTCACTCACCATCTAACACAGGGGCAAGTTCACTGATTATGTTTATTGCTGACTGTCTGTCTCCTTCTAGCAGAACGTGAACTCCACAAGAGCAGGGCCTACTGGTTTTGTTCAGGATGGTGTCCAGGGCTTGCCTGTAACCAGCACCTGGTCTCAGAGTCCCCCGAGTAAACATGTGTAAATAGGTGTCGAACAGACGTGTCAGTTCCAACCAAGATCCGCACATCACAGAGGCACGGACATACAGGGGATGTTCAAAGAACCCAGAACAGAGGGGACAGAGCAACTGCTTCTACTCTAGGGAGTCCCTGAAGGGACGCATGACTGAGGATGGACATCAGAATGAGCCTCCGAGGGGTTTGCTTGAAGGAGGAAGAGGAAATTATCAGGAGGGGTGGGCGTTCTCCGCAGGGACAGGAAATCACAGTCCGTGGTGCAGCATGGCGGAGTGGGCGACACTGCGGGGGACGGCCACTGGACGGCAGCAAGGCGTGGAGGGAGCAGAGCGGCCAGGGATAGGCTGACATGGTGGCCTACGTGCAGGCTGGCTCAGGCTCATTCTCTAGGCCACGCAACACTGCCAAAAATTAGGTGAGTTCTGTCTTCCTCCCCCTCAGACAGCCTAACGAGATGACAGCAGGCACTGACGCCCAGTCTCAGCCAGCCTGCGCTCAACATCTGGCTGCCCTGAGACACTAGATACCGCCCTGAGAGAGCCATAGGCCAGCGTTCCTGCAGGGCCAAGTGGCTGCCAGGAGCTCCACGCTCCTCTCCTCAGCACCAGAGGAGCGGCTGGCGCCCACTTCAGCAGACTAGGGGTGCCGGGGACAGCTGCACAGGCTGGAGTGGGGCTCACGCTCACCGTGAAGCCTAATTCTGTCTCATGTGTGTACTTGTGAAGGTCTGACCACATCTGCCTCGGAGCAAGCCCTGCAGAGGAGGGCTTCCATTCTACTCTCAGATAGAAGCGGGAGGCTTAGAGGAGCATTGTCATCTAAGGGCTGGTACACAATGACAACAAAGTGGCTGAGTTCTGAAAAGCTCGCTGGACTTTTATTTTAAACCCAGAGCTGTGCATCCAGTCTTGTGCATAGTTTCACTAAGTTTCCTTCTTGCGATTAAAGTTTTTACTTCTACAAATGTTATTTAATGTTTTTGCTTTCTTAAGCTTGTAATCCACGATAACCCTCCTCCCCCACCTCGAGACGTTGTGTTGTTCTCAGCTATTAACCCTGTTAGATCACACTCTGGCCATCCTGACCCTGCACTCGACAGGGGATGACAATGGGGCACCACAGACTCCTGGGTCGCCAAGCTTGGGACATGACTGTGCCATCTACTGCTTTGGTCAAAGGTTCTACCGGATGAGACCAAGACGGTACCTGGGGATAAAGGTGCAGAGGGCCTGGAGAAGGGGTCTCACCAGTGAGCCTTCCTACCACTCGCCACTTTTCTTCCTGTCAGAAAGTCAGACAGGAAGAGCCAGGTGCAAATAGGAAGCTGAGCTACATACAGTAGGAGACACAAAGGCCATACAGCTTAACAGTGAAGGCCCTACACCCAGACCAAGGGTTCAGGCTCACAATCTGGCTGACCTGAAACAAGACCAAGACCATCGGAGCTGGCCCTGCTCTCACTGGGCTGTGGAGAAAATATTCTGAAAGAATAAAAAGCAGAATCAGATTTTTTGATTCCTAATCATTAGGGTCACCTTCTATCCTTTTCCTTACAAAAAGTGCATGCTGGGAAATATTTTTTTGGTGGGCTTATAATTTTTTTAAAAATAGGGGTTTAAAAGAATCTTTGATTTAAAAAATAGAATCAATGCACATTGAGTAAAAACTGATATTAAGGTTATTAAAAATATGAGGCTACACAAATTAGAATTAACTAAATTAATTGACTAGCTATTAAGGTACCTTGTCCTTATCTTCCGACGCCACATTGTGGGAGAAGGTATTGTGTGGCCACTCACTTCTGTGGTACCCAGACGCTGCACCTGCAGCAGTGCACCAAGACTGACATGTTACAGCATCGTACCTCAAGCTTGTGAGCCCTCTCCCTGCTCAGGGGCTCCAAGGGAAAGCTCAGGTTGTTTGCTTCTGCCAGAGAACGAAGATCAAAATAATACTTGGCATAAACACTGGAAGGAACGTTGATGTTGAACTGGAGCAATTCAAGAAACTGTCGCTCTAGCTCGTTCCTGCAAAGCAAAGACAAAAACAGCACAGGCTGAGCTGCTGCACCAGGCTGCGTGGCGTGCCAAGGCAAGCTGCTAGAGACCAGACTCCAGAAAATCGCATCCTCCAGGGGGAAAAGCCATGTAATTAATTGCCTGTTTGGACACCAGAGTTGCAGTTTAACCACCAAATTGGTAATAAAAGCTGAATCCACTTGATTAGGTGCCCAGAAGGATGAGGCCTGATTAATGCAGATGATCACCAGGAAGTGCCTCAGGGTGATTCACTTCACTGAGACCGAGAACACACACAGATCTCAGCACGAGCCCTCGGCTCAGACAGGGGGCAGATGAAGCCGTCAAGAGCTGTCGAGTGGCGTCAGTGAGGGCCCAGACGGCCGCCCGGAGGAGAGGACCCGGCTCTGTTAGACCTAGAGGACTGCCCTTCCCCACCTCCTGGTAGAAGAGGAGAGGAGCTGCTGGGGGGACTTCCTGAGACACAGGGGAGGGGGCAAATCCAGCACCACCCTCTTACAAAGGGAACTCAGCAATTCTGAAGGATAAAAGCAGTGTTGCCAAACCTGAGCGTGATCCAGCCTCCGGGAGGGCCGGTGAAGACACAGCCCCGTCTCTGACTCAGCAGGTCTGGGGTGGAGTCAGAGAAAGTCATTTCTAACAAGCTCCCACCAGATGCCGGGCGTCGATGCTGCTGGGCCCGGCCCACACTTTGAGAACCACTCAACTGTGGAGACTGGTCAGTAAAGGGGCCGACGCAGGTGCTAAGATCCACCTGGCCAACCCACTTACATGTGATGATAACAAATGACGGGGAGCCAGCATAAATTTTACAACTTCTACTCTGAGAACTTGCCCGTGTCCATCATCTTGTTAATTAGGTTTATTTCTTGACAGTTACTAGCTGGGGGAGAAAGTCCTCAGTGACGACCTGCTCGTTGAGCATCATGGGTGCTGGCCCGGACTCTGAATCGGCACCACCTCCCCTGGAAGCACCTGTGCTCCCACCGCACACAACACGGCCTCCATCTCTGTCCTTCATCACACTCTACTATTCCTGTTGCCTTGCCTCAGTCTCCCCTACTTGTCTCCTCATAGCCACCTGATTTCACACACCCGGCCCCTAGCACAGTCCCTAACATACAGTTGGTGCTCAATAATTACTGCTACTGAATGGAGCGGCCCAAGCTCAGCCTGGGCGGCAGGATCAGGCAAGGCTTCCCCCAGAAGGGAGAGCTGACTGAGTGTGGGAGCGTGGCGCTCTGGTGGAGAGGAACAAGGGCTGGGGCGGGGTGTTCCCCGCAGGGGGCCACTCAAACCACCCACAAACCTGCAGGAGACAGGACACACTGGTCACTGTCTCCTGCAGGTGGGGCTGACCACTGACAAGCCCTGTCCTGAGTGCCCGGCCTCAGCCCTCCTGACCCTGGCCTCAGCCTCCGCCGACTCCGCCGACACTGAGCCCCCAGCTCGGCCGCTGTGTGCTGGCACCTCATCTTCCCAGGCCTCCGACGAACGCAGCACCATCCTGTCCCACGCTGTCCCTGAGCCCCAGGCCGCCCCTGGAGCACGAGCAGACTAGGCCACTGAGCCCCAGGAGGACTTGCCCCAGTCTCGTGCTGCTGTCACAACAGGGACAGGGAGGCCGGGATGTGAGCAAGGGTGGGTGGCTCCAGAGAGACAGAAGCTACTGGGCAAGTAACAATTCAGAAACATCAGCAAGCTGCTCTCGAAGGCCTGAGTGCTTGAGATGGAAAGACCAAGAAGTCACATTCAAGTCTTTTAGCTGGAGAAACAGCGTTAACTTCCATGCTATTTCTACACAGCCTCGTGAAAGGAGTTACCAGGCCCCAAAAAAGAATAAATTATCCTAAATTTTACACCTTTAAGTAACTTACTTTTATTTATTTGGTATGATTTTTATTTTAAATGACTTTTAGTTATGGCTCATTTAAATGAGATTTAATACAAGATCATCCTGTGAAATACTGAAACCCAGATATGACTTTAATAAAACAAGAGTGTCAAAATACTGCTAAGGCCAGAAAGTGTCAAAGCAAACGGGCTAGAGGAGCTCTCCTGGGTGAGGGGAAGCTGCCTGGGGACAGACTGCCGCCTGCTGGCCAAAAGGAGGCACTGCAGGTCTTATTCTCCCAGCACTAAGATCTTGCCTTCTTAATTACCATGAGAGAGCTAGTTTGTTAATCCTGCCCCAAATGGCACAGACACCAATGCCTCTTCTGGAGGGGATACACTACGATTAAAGCCAAGAGGAGTCTGTTTCTGAACAAGGTGGCATTTTCCCAGGGTTCCTTGGAAAATGGAACAGCCTTCTCCCAGCTTTTCTTAAATGTTCCTGAATGTTTTCTTAAATGTTTCTGTTTAAACTCTGGGGAAAATAGGATTTTAGAGCTGCTGTGTTTTCAAACTAAGACAAGATTTGAAAATAAAAATAATTCTTAAAATTTGAATTTCTAAACTGTAGCAGTACATCTTAAAGGGACACATGACAGCTTGTTATGTGACAAATCACCAGAAATCTAACAGTGACGCAGAGAGAATGGGCTTGATGGAGTTAATGTCCTCAACCGCGTAATTATGAGGAAATAGTTCTGGTGTAAAACTTTATAAGAAATAAATTTAACTCAAGAAACAAAGAAATATTTGTTACATTAGATCAATATTGTGAAGAAACCCAACTGAAGTGGTGCAATTTAGAACTTGCAAATGGGCCTCTAAAACAGAGTGAAGAGAGCTGCTCTCATCATCTGACAACCTGCCCGCTTTCCCAGGACAAGAGGCTCACTTCCACAACCAGACACCAGTCCAGCAACTCCACCTCTGGTACACACCCGAAAGAACCGAAGGCAGGGGCTCGAAGAGACATTTGTATACCATGCTCAGGGCAGCATTACTCACAACAGCTAAAGGGGGAAGCAACCCAAGTGCCCAAGTGTCTATCAGTGGATAAATGTACACGTTAAAGTGAAGGTGTCCAATTTTTGTTTTAACACACTGAAGGAGGAGTGGCAGGCTCATTTAAATAATTTTTACTGATAGATGACTATGTGATTTTAGCATATAATTCTAAAAGTGTTTCAAGACTCAAGTAACACTGTTATAACAAAATTTGTAATTTCATCTACTTACATGAGTATGTTCTCTCAGCTCTCATGTTAAAGAAAAGAAAAATGGGACTAAAACTGATGCTGAATTTCATTTCACTATATCAGTAAGTACTAATCATACACAAAAATATAACAGAGAAAAAAAGCTACTTATTTCATTAAGAGATTATTTCCCATAAGATTTTACTTTTTATATTTTACCAAGTTGATAATGTTTATCTTGTTTTGATCAATTGTGTACTAATGATAACTCACCTGAAGATTAGAATCTTATAGTCCAGAAAACAACATTCTAGTTTTAACTTACATATACATTTTTGTTACAGAGTTTTGAGGAATAAACTTCTGTAAGAGGAAACAAGAAAGAAAATGAATTCAAGGAGAAATGAGAACAATATAAGACTTCCAACTGTAAGAAAATGCATGACGGTGGGTGTATCACATTACTACAGAATTCAGTCTCCAATGGATACTTTCAACTTAAAAATACACAATTTAAAAAATACTGTAGGGCTGGCCCCATGGCTTAGCGGTTCTGGCGGCCTGGGTTCGGATCCTGGGCGTGCACCGACGCACCACTTCTCCGGCCATGCTGAAGCCGCATCCCACATACAGCAACTAGAAGGACGTGCAGCTATGACATACAATTATCTACTGGGGCTTCAGGGGGGAAAAAAATAAAGGAGGAGGATTGGCAATAAATGTTAGCTCAGAGCCGGTCTTCCTCAGCAAAAAGAGGAGGATTACCACGGATGTTAGCTCAGGGCTGATCTTCCTCACAAAAAAAATAAATAAAAAAATAAAAAAAAATAAAAAATACTGTAAATGACATCCTTTGCAATTATCGAAACTTATGATGAAAATTTTTTAGATGTCAATGTAAAAATGAAGTGAGGATACAACATTTTCCAAAATTCTTCCAGGAGTGGACAGCTCAAATGCATGAAGACCTCTGCTGTCATGGTCACCTGGCTTGTCCCTACAAAGAGATACGGAGACACAGGTGCGCTGGAGTCAGGAATAGTCAACATGCAGCACAAGAGCACCCTCTGGGCGAACATCCCCGCAGGCGAGAACCCTCTGCTTCCTCCTGTCCTTGGCGGGGGGAATCTGCATACTCCTTCCCAAATCTGCACAGATGCAATTGTTTGATCAGCTTTTCTTACAATATATAGGCTCTGACAGCATGTTAATACACATCAACGGATTAACAGCACATGATAAATGGATCACAGTGGCTCTTGAACAAACGGTAGAACAAACACTTTGAACAGGAAGGACTTCAGTGTGGCTCAGGCCTCAGTCCCCAGAGCTCTGCAGGACAGGGGAGGCACCCAGGCAGCTGCTGGCTGGGTCCCCTGAGCTGGGTCCACTGATGACCTTTCTCAAGCCTGGCAGACGGGGATGGAGCAGGGCGTTACGCTGGAGTTTCTTCAGAAAAACTGCTTACAATCTGACCTTTTAAAAACAAAAGCGCTTCCTCTATGCCCAGCCACAGGCTTTTGGAGGATTCATGGAATGCCAGAGGAACTGCCAGGGCTCAGCCAGTGGCTGGCATGATGACAGGAGCCTGGCCATCAATGGCTTCCAAGAAAGGGACAAAAAAATGGTCAGGCTCAAAACCTGGCTCAAAACATGGTCAATCTTCTTCGGATAGATTATGGGATAGAACTTTCACATGTATGCTGACTACTATTACACTGATCACAGTGCTGGTTCTTTTGAAATAGTAATGCATAAAGCAGCAGCTTCACTCAACAAAACATTCACTATTTGCAGCTGACAAAAAAATCTAACTTCATTATAAATGAAAACTGCTTAAGGTATAGATTTGTCTACCGAAAGAACAAAAATTAAAAATATCATAATTAAAGAAATTCTTAATATTAAGTTTAATTTTAGCTGAATCAACTTTTTCTAATTTCAACATTTTCTAATGTCGCTGTGTGGAAAAGGATTTGACTTTCAAAAAATAGTTGTCATTTTTTATTAAGATAAAAAATTAGATAAATGAACACAGTTTTAGCTTCAATTGCTTAGAAGAGAAGAAATATAAATTGTGGCTTTGTAACTAGCCAAGTCACCTGCCGTCTTTCTTAACTTCTCAGGGCCTCATTTTCATCTGTAAAACGGGGAGAGTAACAGTACTACCTCATGGGTAACTGTGAGAAATGAAGTAACACACAAAAATTATCCCTTTTGGGCTAGAAACTGCTCCATAAAGGATGGCTGCCATTATTAGCATCATGATGGTGATGAGGACGATGACTATTATTATTGCTATTTAAAAATATTTATAAATATATAACATTATATATTAAATATTATAATATTTAAAACATATAATATATATTAATATTATATAATATTAAATATAATGTTTACATATTCTTGGCAATTGTTTGGTTTTTCCTAACTTGGTAATAACTTCAATGAACAGAACCTAAGTATCTAGAATTCCAAATTACCTGTTATTTTTACCCTCTTACTTTTTTATTCAAGGAGAGAATGACAAATTAAAAACTGACTATTGCAGGCATTTAGTTAAAACACCTTCCCAGGGAGCCTGGGGACAGGTGTGCGTCGTCTCCACTGCTGTCACCTCTGACCACTGTGTAATGGTCTCTGGGGCTAAGGATGCTGGGGATGAACTTCCCTGCCTGCTAGTTCCACCGGGGCATCATCTAACCTCTCCAGGCCTGTGTCCAGTGGAGACATAAGCACATGTATTACAGGGTTACTGACAGGATCAAATCGAGGTATGATGAACTGGACAATGAGGGCCTCCTCATATATAATTTATAAACATTTCTTCAAGGTTTTAAATAAAATAAAAGGATTCTCCATAATCCCTAAATCTACATGAAAATTCAGTTTTGCCGGCATTTTGGTGAATGAAACCTGGTGGATTAAGGACAAGAACACAAAAGGAGTCTCCCCCCACCCCACGCTCTTCATTCTTCATGTTCTCTGTTCTCTTTTGTTCTAATGCTTCTGCGGTATCTCTAATTTACATCTGTATCTCACTTCCTTTCGGAAATAGCTGGGACATAAATGACTTCAGCAGGCACTTTCTGGGGAAGCCCTCTGCCTGCTCTTGCAGAACACGAGCGCCACCACTCACACGGTGTCACCAGCCCTGCATCGGCTACTCCACACAAACAAGAAGGGACAGCTGTGACGGCACTCCTGGGCTCGCAACTCAGTGTGCACTGCTATCAGGGAAGGATGGGAGAGTAACCCAATAAAGGAGACTAGTCAGCACTTCTTGCCATCTTCACTCAAATGTCCGTCTCCTGTACTGTGTGAATGACAATTATTTTAGTAGCTGTTTTCACCTTGAAATAGAATCAAGAATTTTATTTTTCTTAGTATCAAACACTTCTTTATGCTTCCCTTACTGTTCACAGTAAGGAAGTCCAGACACAAGCAGGGGTGTCGTAGGTCTGCAGCAGGAATAGGCTCTGCAGCAGAGCCCTAAGAGCGTCAACAAGTGTGCCTCAAAGCGCACCACAAAACGGGGTGCCCGGCAAACCCACAACCAGAGGCGAGGAGGGCCCTGGTGAGGGATCCGGAACCAGCACACCCACGTGACACCCACAGGCTGCAGTCACAGGCACCGTGAGATCCTACACCCCAGGTCAAAGGTGTGGACTGGGACACAGCTGGGAACCTCCTCCAGCCTAAAGCTTCCTCGAGGATGCCAAACAAACAAGAGGAGACACATTTTAGCAAGTCTAGTGTCAGAAGTGCATATAAACTATAAGGAACTCCACGTAGTTCATCCTGACTGGGTGCTTTCTCCCAGCTCCTCCCTCCTAAGAGGCTCTGCACCCGCTCCCAGTGTTCCAGACCCCAGGGAGCCAGAGGACAGGCCTGCAGGCCTCCTGCTTACGCCCCACCTGGACCTGAGGACCGAACCCTCCACCTGAGGAGTCCTGTGGGTGCGGACAGGCCCCCAGGCCTTACGGCACTTTCACTGCGCTGTGGGGGCTCCAGCCCAGCTGGGGGAGAACACGCAGCCTAATAAGGAGGAGAGAAGAGAGGCCTCAGGGGCAGAATGCTGATTTTAAGCAAGTGAACTTGCAAAAACATGCCAACAGCAGGGAAACTCTTCCCTCTGAAACTAAACAGACAAAGACACTATTTTAGCTCCTCCACTTTTTGGGCAGGCTGTTGCCCACAAGAGACAGGTGCGACGCAGGGACTCTCCATTATCAGCCTGCAGCGAGACCCAGAGCTGGAATGTCCAGCCCCGGTCTACACCTCTCTAATGAAGGTAAAAGACTCTGCCTATAACATAATTTCAGTAATGCAGCCTCACAAAACCAGAAAGTGTTACTAGCACCTATTCATGATCCACAATGAAATACAGGTTTTTGCATATAATATGCCACAACCGTGTCCTTGGTTTGTCAGCCACAAGAGACACTCGGTCAAATTCATTTATTCTATACTATACAAGTCATTGAAAAACGGATGCGCTGTCCTTCCCACATAGGCCCCCTGAGATACTGAGTACACCCCCCACACACAACACACACACTCACATGTCCTCCACCGTGATGTCCTTCAGGATCTGGCAGTAATCCACATTCCACACAGCCTGGTCGTCCCACACCTTGGAGGCCAGCAGGATCGCCCCCAGAACGATTCGCTTCCAGTTGGCTGGACAGATGTCTATCTCTGCATAGGTTAAAAGTCTTTCAAGGTATACCTGGGAAGACAGGAAAACGCCAGAGCTAAAGGACTCGAGGTGCTTTCTCTCACACACTAGCCCACATAAAATTCTAAAACTGTTTACCATTTCACCAGCCTTTAGCCAGGGATGTAGTACTTGATCATACTCATTTTCAACAAGTCACAGGGCTCAGCGAGTCTGACGTCAACGGGCACACTCTGCACCTGGACAGTGTGGACGCAGCTGCAGCGTAAGAGACTCCCGGCAGGAACACGCTCCAGGAGCCACACTTTCTACCTCACTCTATCAACTAGATATCAACACAAATTCAACAGACAACAAATGTGCCAACAAAGAGAGCCATGAATGTGAAGGAAATGAACCTATCTTTTTTTCTATCTGTAGTTTTTCTTAATTAAACTTTTTATTTTGAGGTAATTGTAGATTTACATGCAATGTTGATAAATCCATTTCTTCATTGTGGAAAAATATATATAATATAAAATTTACCATTTAACCATTTTTAAGCGTACACTTCTGTGGCATTAAGTACATTCACATTGTTGTGAAATTATCACCATCCATCTCTATTTCCAGAAGTTTTTCATCATCCAAAACTGCAACTCTGTACCTATGAAACAACAACTTGCCATTCTCCCTCCTCCCACCCTGGCAAACAACATTCTACTTCTTGTCTCTATGAATCTGACTATTCTAGGTACCGTATACAGGTAGAATCAAAACTATTTGTCCTTTCGTGACTGGCTTATTTCACTTAGCATAATGTCCTAGAGGTTCATCCATGTTGTAGCATGTATCAGAATTTCCTTCCTTTTTAAGGCTGAATAATATTCCATTATATGTATATATCACATTTTGTTTATCCATTCATCCACTGATGGACATCTGCGTTGTTTCTTCCCTTTGGCTACTGTGAATGTTGCTATAGTGAACACTGGTGTACAAATATCTGTTCAAGACCCTGCTTTTGATTCTTTTGGGTATGTACCCAGAAGTAGAATTGCTGGATCATACGGTAATTCTATGTTTAATTTTTTAAGGAAACACCATACTATTTTCCACAGTGGCTACACCATTTACATTCCCACCAGCAATGCATAAGAGTTCCAGTTTTTCTACATCCTTGCCAACGTTTGTTATTTTCTGTTTTTTTGATAGCAGTCATCCTAACAGGTGTGAAGTGGTACCCCATTGTGGTTTTGGTTTGATAAACCCATTTTAAATAGTTACAATGAAATAGTTTCTGCTGAAGTTGGAAAATGAAACCAAAATAACATAGGATTTCTAAATTGGCATGATTTAGTTTGAAGATAGACATCAGAAATGCCCACAAAACCCATCAATTAAGTTAGGTCACAAGGTAAGAATGTCTCCTACAGTTTCCTTTAGCAAGCGTGTTTGTTAGTATGTTTCACACTTCTTTGAGCCATGGAATTATTATATCTACAGTTTTTTATCAAATACATTTACAAAGTAGAACTACTGCATCAGAAAGAAACAAACGAAATTAATCACCCATTCTTTTTAAAGAACTTGCTTTCTAAGGCAGATGAAATCTACGTAGTGTCAGAATTATTCACAGCTTATAATGTCTGTAAAGTCTTAAATATTACAACATGCAAAAAAAGGCATGTGTGGAAAAGGGAATGTTAAATACACAAATAAAATATAGGTTATTTTTGGCTAAACAATATCAATGTTCACAAATAGCACGGGAAAAGTTAAAAAAAAAAAAAAGGAAGAATCCACAACTGTTCTATCATTAGGGCTTTGGGGAGGAGGCTGCACTTCAGAAAGTTCTTGAGAAAGAGGGTAATTAACAGATTGATTGGGAGAAGTTTATTAAATGACGTGAATACATCAGAAGAGGATGACGCCAGAAGCAGACTAACAATTACACAACAACAAGGTCCCAGGATGAGAACAGACAAATGAGAGGTGTGGTCGAACAAGTGGACTTAATCCATTATTTACTGTCTAAGCACGGAGCACTCACTCTCTGCAGGCACTATGCTGAACACTGCGGACAGGAGGGGTGGTGCTGACCGCCTCGGCTGGAAAGGAGCAGAGCTGACGGGAAGAGGCCCTCCGGTTACTGAAGTGGTCCTAACAGAGAGGACCAGTGCTTGAACAGGGAACATGACAGAGAAGACGAGAGGCCTAGTCCAGAGATTCCAGTAAGCCCAGCAACCTCAGAAGGTGGACTGCTGTGGGAGACTTGCAGCCTCTGCAGCTGGATGGGTGATGCCCCTAAGACTGGGTGCACAGGGCAGCAAGAAGTTGGTGAAGGATGATTCCGAGTCTGACTTGGGACATTTTATGTCTGAGCCATCCCAGAGGATGCCACGCAGGAAGGGCACATGCTGGGCTGGAGCTCAAAGGCAACAGCAATGAGATAGAAATCTGGGAGTCCGAGACATACAAACAGAATTAAGCCTGGGCGTGGATCTGATGACCTGGGAGAGGGGCAGAGAGAGACAAGAAAGGGCCAGGCCTGAGCCTTGAGAGCCCCTCCTGTGTTAACGTCTGGAGGGAGGAATAAAATCTGGTATGTTCTGCTTTTCAGTCTTGTAATAGTTTGGAGAAGAATCTACAAGGCAAAGCTAGGTGACTGTAAGTGCCTGAATTGGGCTTATAATATTATACAGGGCATAGGAGAAGGAAATTGAAGTGGTCTCTCTCTCAGTAAAAAGTGAAACAAGCGCAGCAAGCACACTCCACACAGTGACTGTGTGGGTGGAGAAGGGCAGAGGAGGCAGCAGGGATGGGGTATTGAGAAGAGAGAGTGGAGGGAGAGGGAGAAGAGGGAGAGACGGGGAGAGGGGAGGGAGCAGAGAGAAGAAGGGAGGAAGGAAGGGAGGGAGGGAGGGAAGGAGAAATGACCCTTAATGGAAGCAAAATGCTGGGCGGATTAAGAAAAGTCCACCAGCTAGCAGCTCCTCCGCAGAGCCTCCCCTGGTTCCCTTCATCCCTAAATCAGCGGCTCACATGCTCCCTGCAAAGCAGCAGGAGATTCCTATGGCTTCTTTAGCCAGTCTGCACCAGTCTGCTGTCCACGAAGCAGCGGCAACGGTGAACGCCAGCTGGAGAGGGGGCTCGGAACCTTGTCTGCCTCTTCCCCTGAAATAGGGGCTTGGCCAAGATCGGGGGGTTGGTATTCAACTGTTTGCTGAACAATAGATGAATAAGGGTTCTTTTGCTTAGACAGGTTATTGTTCTATTTTCCAAGCTTCATTAATGAAAAAGCATTCTTGTTTTTAATCCTAAAAGCCTAGATTCTTACACTAATCTCAGATAGCAGGTGTTCCCCAGAATGGATCAGGGGCACTGTACTAAAGGACAAAGTCTAACTCACGAGAAGAAATCACTAACACATTTCAAAGACAAAACAGCCAACAAACTGAGACAAGGCCCTACATTTACCGAAAAGTAATGAAACAGAAACCATTACACGGCGGGCCTGCCTTGACTTCCCCTGGTTAATGTGGGTGACCCTCCCACGTGCCCCCCTGGTCTGCGTATCTCAGGACAGGTAGCTGCCTTCTTACTGGTCTCTCCCCTAGTGACCAAAAGTTCCCTGAAGACAAGGTCCATGTCTCTCTCCCACTATGTGCCCAGCGTCTGGCATCATGCTAGGGCAGGGCGTGGGCCCTGACTGCTGGCTCAATGGACACACGTTCCTGCAGAAGGAACAAGGGACAGCATCTCCAGAGGAGCTCTGGCTCTGGAACACAGCTACAGGAGGTGGATTTCTTGTGTAAGGGACTTAGCTAACAAATAATGGCATTCAGGAAAAGGAAGTGAATTTACAAAGACAGAGTGGATTCAAAGGTAACACCGAGTCCCTGGTTTGTGAGCCAGGTGCCGTGGTGAACAATGAAGTCAGAGGAGACAGCTCCCGAGGAAGGAGTCCACTCAGCTGTGCTGAGCCCAGGCCGTAGGGAGGACCTTCAGATGAGCCCAGGCAGTTCCGAAGCATGGCTCTAACTGCACTATATGGACCTCTGTGCGAGTTTCCACACATCTGCCGTTGAACAGTAACAGCATTTGGTGGTGACAATCAGTGGTGGAAAAAACTAGGGCACTGAATAGAGCCCACGAATCTTTTCAATTTTTAATGGCATGCATTACACTAAATGAGCAGAAAAGGTGAGCTAATGTTCTAGACCATGATTTTTATTTGTGGGAAAATCGTAATTCTTCAGGTAAAGATCCAGGCCAGACCGCTTGAGACTCCAGACTGCATTATTTTATAAAGGTGGACAACTAACTCTTCTCATTCTCTACCAAGGAGAGAGTCAGAAAAAAGTGTAACAAAACTGTACTAAGAGCATAAGATTGAGACTGGATCTAACTAAGCCTCCAGATTTTTAAAGCAATAGAAAAAAGAGGCTGTGAAACAATCTTGGCCCGAATCCCTAAGACTCTAGTCCTTTATATTATAGACACGAGCTATGCAAATCTCTCCAAGCTCTCCCCTGAAATAGATTCTCACCCGCTTGGTGCAAAAAAGTGGCTACTCAATCTTCTTCTTACTTACTTTACACCTTAGTTGATAGATATTAATAAATACACTAGATGATATTTAAGATAATATTTAATGTTTGAAAAAAACCAACAGGCATCTATCATATCTGATATCCCATTAGGGCTAACTAAAGGAATTAAAAATAATAGTACTCTCCATTACCCAGCAAAGGCAGCTGTCATGCTGGGAGATAACACATTCACAATAAGCTCCACTTAATAGCATGTAATTTAGCAGAACTTGCCAGTAAAGCTATATTCAAGGATCAGCTACAATTTCTTTAGTAAACTCCCACTTGGGTATGTGAATTTCCTGCCAAGTAAAATAATATACAATTGATTTTTTTTCTAAACAATATCCCTAGACCATTGCTAATAGGACACTCTTGCTCAATTAAATTTTCAGATTTAAATTTATGAGAAGGACTATCCTAAGGAGTCTCTAGAGAATACAGGTTAGTGAGCAATTATAGAGCATTCAGTTGACT